CTCCTCCTCCTCCTCCTCCTCCTCCTCCTCCTCCTCCTCCTCCTCTTGTAGCTTTGAAGACGTTGAGGTGCTCGGACGATGTGGAGGAAGAGATGGAACAACTCCAGCAAGAGGAACTGGCGGACAGGAAGGAAAAAGATATGGACGTGATGAAAATCCTGTATTATCCCGGCCTTCGGTGGCACGTGGTGTCTATCGCAGTCCTGATGGCGGGCCAGCAGCTCTCTGGGATCAACGCGGTACGGAAACCTTCTGGAGCACTTCCCAACCGCTTTATCTGGAGCACGGACCTCATGTTCCTCAGGACCATCTGAGGTGGTAGGTCCTGGAAAGAGCAGTCTTCAGATCCATTGTTGCCAACCTTGACAAAAGTTGGCCAGGCGTGGACTTCAACTCCCAGAATCCCCCAGCCAGCCCAGCCATGGGGAATTCTGGGAGTTGAAGGCCATCCCCTCTTCCCGTTTGCCACGGTTGAGAAAAACCGATCCAAAGACTCCTCTACCGGAGACCCTCCGCCTCACATGGTCCAATCTCAGGAGACCAGAGGCCCGGTCTTCCTCCTGCAAAGTCAGTGAAGGAGCGGGATGAAGTATGGGCTTTGTTGTCCTTCCAGGCCCACTATTACGCGAAGCGGATCTACTTGTCCTCGGGGGTCAGCGATACGATAGTGTGGTACATCAGCATGCTGTTATCTCTCTTCCTGATGGTCATCACAACACTGGTGGTAAGAGGCTGGGAATGGGGGCAACCTCCTCCTCCAAGCTTTTAATGGGTCCAGATTTGAAGGCCTTTTTTTGGAGCGGGGCGGGAATAATCAGATTAAGGAGAAAGACATAAAATTGATAAGTGGCTTCTCTAACTGTCGCGGAGAGCATCTTCCTCTACATTTTAGCGTCTTCCTCTACATTTCTGGACTTGGGTTTTGCTGAGAACAAATGAAAAATGGACGGACACTCTCTGGATTATACTATTTTAAAAGGGATATATATGGGAAGAAGGGAATTTGGGATGTTTGTGAAAAGATAGGTAATCCTTGAATAATAACCAGCGCTGACCACAACATTTCTGTTGCTAAGTCCTTCAGTGAGTTTTGTTCCACGTTACGACTTTCCTCGCCACCGTCACTAAGTGTAACCCCTTAATCCTGGTTGTTAAGGGAATCAAAAGTACACCTATAGACTGGTTGAAACCAGGCTTAATAACAATCGCTGTGAGAGGGATCTTGGAGTCTTAGTGGACGATCAATTAAATATGAGCCAACCGTGTGCGGCGGCAGCCAAAAAAGCCAACGCAATCCTAAACTGCATTAACAGAGGGTGTCCATCAGGATCAAGGGAGGTACTAATACCACTCTACAAAGCCTTAGTAAGACTACCACACCTAGAGTACTGCACCCAATATCCAGTAAATCAATGACTGGACTTCTGTCTGGCGGGAAGGGGTTGAACAAATCCCATTATCCATCTCATTATCCAGTGGCTGAAAATAATTATCGAGGAGAAATTCATTCACAACAAATCGAAGCACCCTTCCTGATGCTGTCGTAACTCCCAAATTGTTGTTAAGCAATTGGTCGTAACTTGAAGGAACTTGCCTCTGTGCAGCCCATTTAAAAAAAATAATAATTTCTCTAGATCTGCATCATTGAAAATTCAGGGCGAAGGATTCTTCTGATCTCCGGCTTTGGAATCTGTATCATTGCTGGCCTTTTTCTATCCATGTCTCTGCAGCTTCAGGTGAGTCATTTCCCTAAAGCCCTATTTTTATTTTTTATAAGGCAACCTTAAAATACCCTTATTTTCATTTTTCCATGCAATCTTTAAAATAAAACCTCACTTTTATTTTTTAAGGCAACCTTAAAAACACCCTTATTTTTATTTTTAAGGCAACCTTTAAAAACCTTATTTTTATTTTCTAAGGCAACCTTAAAAAAAACCTTATTTTTATTTTTTAAAACAACCTTAAAAAAATCTTATTTTTTTATTTTTTAAAGCAACCTTAAAAAACCCTTATTTTTATTTTTTTTAAGGCAACCTTTAAAAAACTCTTATTTTTATTTTTAAAGGAGATTTTTTGTGGGGGAAGCCGAGGCATTTTCCTTCCTGCCTTGATGCCCGAAAAAGCGACATCTAAGTATCCCTTGAGTTAAGACCCCAACTAAGCCCCAACATTTACGTCGCTAAGCGAAACATTCCATTAAGTGAATTCACCAACGTCCTTGCCACGATTGTTAAGGGAACCGTTGCATTTGTCAGCTTAGTAACACGGTCGTTAAGTGAACCTCGTCAGAAGGTCGCAAAAAGGGATCGCGTGAGACCCCCCCCCCGGGAACACGGCCACCGTCATAAATACAAGTCCATTGCCACATGCATCCGAATTGGGATCACGCGGCCCCAGGGTGGCGGCAGCGGTCACAAGTGTGAAAAACGGCCGTAAAGTCAATGTCATCGTAACTCTGAATGGTCACTAAACGAAACTGTTGTAAGTCGACTGCGTGTATTTTTGGCGATTATGCTCCCCCTGGAGGGGAAATTTGCCTGAATATTTTTTTTTCATTTATTTAAATGCGTTGGCCACGGAAATTTTAATGCTAAGAATATAGAGCAAGGAGAGTTTTTAAACAGATGCATATCCTGATTTTGTGTGTGTGTGTTTTCCGGCAGAAAAACATCCCCGCCATGGCATATCTGAGTGTGTCGTTCCACACCATCTTCCTCATCGGACAAACTACCGGTCCCAGTAAGTATCTCGGCACCGGACCGTTGCAAATGCAAAGGGGGGCGCATGTTTTGAACTTGCGTCCTCTATGAAATATGTATATACGGGTGGCGGCAGCGGTCACAAGTTATATATATATATTGGGCAGATCAGTCGTTGAAACGTGCTGTCTTTTGCACCCAGATCCGGTTCCCAGCGTGCTGGTAGCTGAGTATTTCCTCCAGACCTGTCGGTCCACGGCTTTCGTGGTCGCCGGAAGCATCCACTGGATTTGCAAATTTCTCATTATTGTAACATATCTCCACATGGAAGTGAGTCCTCTTTTAATATATATATATATATATAGCCCCCCCCACTTTTGACTTGGCCCCACCCACCCTCCCTGTTACCCTCACCCTCTCCTTGATTGGGCCCCACCCATTCCCGATCCCTTCTCCACCCACTTTGACGTAACCCCGCCCATTCTGGCTAGCACGCCACCCAGCCCTCGATGCCCCGCCGCCCACCACGAATCCCAGCTCCGCCTACTCGGCCTACAGCAGCCCCCCACCCATTCTCACTCTAGACCCAACCCACTCTTCCGACTAGCCCCGCCCTTTCCGTGCAGCTCCCAAAGACCTTGTCTTCAAAGGAGCACAAGCCGTCGTAGAAAATGAAAATGAATGGGTTCCTGGCCCAGGTGTTGAAGGAATGGGCCTCCCTCTTCAGTTCCACCAAGAACCTTCTGCAGAAGGCGCGGCCTGCTCCTGGATCACTCCAGGGTTAAAGGCCCTGGTTCCCGGTTCAAACTCTGGGTGTAGGAGGAGACGCTGGATTCTTCTGTTATGATGGTTCAGAAGATACACCTCCATTAGGATGGATTCTCCAACCATGACTTTCTTTCTCTCCCTAGATCGAACTAGAAGCCTACAGCTTTCTCTTCTTCTGGCCGTTCAACATCGCCACCATTTTATACATAGCCAAGATGATCCCCGAGACCAAGGGCAGGAGTTTCCTAGAGATTAGAAGCGTCCTGTCTCGCCACCTGGCCCGCGGGTCTTAAAATGGCGGACGTGGGACCTTCTCTGTGGACCTTCTGGGCTTCCTTCGGTCAAGGGAAGATGGACTTATGAGATCTCCACTTAGTTTGCGGGGGCAGGCGGTGCCCCCATCTCTTCTTCCAGCCCCCAGCCCCCCCAGACGTTGAACTGTGGAGGTGGTTTGGCTTCTCACCAAGTTGAGGAGCACCAAGTATTTCCTTCAGTTGGAGGGTCCTGGTGGCTGGAAGAATCGGATCTTTTCCGATGACCTTTGACGGAGGGACGGGACGATTTGGAAAGACCTTGCTCACCTGACTCTCAAAACAGGATCTTCAAAACATATTCCGGAGTTGTTTTATTTTTGCAATTTTTTTTTCCTGGAACTTCCTTCATTCTCGTTTTAACTCCTGTATTTAAAACCTTCTTGGTTCGAAGGTTGAGATGACCCAAACTCCCTCTGCGGTTTGTTTGCTTTAAAATATTATTATTTTTTCTTTTTTTTTAAAAAAAAGAAATACATTTATTTATAACCTTGCAACATCGTATGTTCTTCTGTCAGTCTCCCGTGGTCTTTTATTTATTTGCGGGGAAAATTAGGTGTTGGGGAAAATCGAGAAGGAAGGGAAATTTTGGATTTAGAAGTTGGAGTCCGAAGGCAGAACTGGCAGGCCTTAGAAAACAGGAGAAATCACACTTTAATTTATTTCCTTTTGTTTACCTGTATTAAATATAGTTTTTTTATTTTTTTATTTTTAAATAACAAACACAAACATAAAACAACAAATAATTTGCACAGTGTGTCTGTCGGTTGGTATATATTTCTTGTGCATAATGTCTAGTCTTTTCCTCTTATATTTAAGTTTACATTCAAATTATATTAATCAACTTTCCATGTCATGTTATATTATTATTACACCATCCTTAGACTTTTAATTTCAAGTCCGCCTTCTCCTTTTAGAGCAAATGTCAGTTCTTACTGATTCTAATTCATATTATAATCCATTCCATAATAATCAGGTATAACATATCATTACTACTGTGTTATATTTACTATTGTGTTATATTTATACATAATACATTTCATTTTCCTATTTTGCTATCTAGCCATCGATAATATAAATCCCATATTTTATAATATTTTTTTCTTCTTGCTCCTGGGGTATTAAATAGAGTTAACTCAGGTTTTCTCAGTGGGAGGAAAACTTTCCGTTTTTATTTTTTAAAACTCTTCCCAGAATGAAGGAATAGAGTCCTGGACTTACGACCTCAATTTGAGCCCAAAATAATGTTGCCAAGCGAGATATTTGCTAAGTGGATTTTGCTCCATTTTACAATCCAGCCTCCGTTGTTAAGTGAATCACCGCAGTTGTTAAGTTAATAGCACAGTGTTGTTAAGCGAGTCTGCTATTGGCTTTGCTTATCAGAATGTCGCAAAAGGGGATGGCACTCTAACCGTCATAAATATGAGTCATGGCCAGTGAACGTTGATCATGTGACGGGGTGGTGGTGGTCCTGCAACGGTCGTAAGTGTGGAAAACAGTCATAAGTTCCTTTTTTTTTCAGTGCTATCACTCAATGAACTGTTGACAGTATACATACTATAACAAAACAGCATAAAAATGATGCGAAAGGATAATAAACCCTGTAATATAAAGTGCTCATGTAATCGAATGCCACGAAATGGCAATGCGGCGATGGAATAATATAAAAGGATAGCGTAACATTTATGAACAATAATAATGGATCCCGGAAACCTGCCTGAGTAGGGGGGGAGGGGCGGGGTTGGACTAGATGACCTCCAAGGTCCCTCCCAGCCCTATTATTCCGCGTTCTAATATCCCTAGCTCCCTAGTTTGAACTGGGAAGCCTTTCTCCAACAGGAAATGGGTTTCTCATGAGGAGGGGAAAAAAAAAAAACCATGTATCTGGAGCGACGCGCTTTCTGAGACGTGCTGCACAACAACCCTGCCAGGTAGGCTCCTCTTCATACCTTATACCTTACAAGGTGGCAGTTTTCTGTGCACTCTACAGCACATTTCCGACTTCCTGGCACGGTGGCCAAGGTTCTGCCAGTCTCCTCTTTTTTTAAGAAGAAGAAGAAGAGGAGGAGGAGGAGGAGGAGGAGGAGGAGGAGGAGGAGGAGGAGGAGAAGGAGAAGGAGAAGAAGAAGAAGAAGAAGAAGAAGAAGAAGAAGAGAAGGGAAGGGAAGGGAAGGGAAGGGAAGGAAGGAAGGAAAGAAAGAAAGAAAGAAAGAAAGAAAGAAAGAAAGAAAGAAAGAAAGAAAGAAAGAAAGAA